CACAAAATTTGACCACAAACAATATTATGCATAGCGATGACATGTTTATTTCTTTACATAAAATTATTGGGCATGCCTAAAGCATTCTACAATAACGAAGAATTTACTACCTTAATTATCATGATGGAATATTATAATTAATATTCTATATGTTATTCGCTTAAGACTTAATGTAATATATTGTCAAGAGAAAAAATATTAAATTTTTTATCTATTGATCTTTTTAATTATTTTTTTAATAAAAATTTATTTTATCTTTCTATTTATTATTTTGTATTACAAGTTGAAAGTTTCATAGTTGTATGTTTTTTCAAAATTTAGTATTATGGAGATAGTAAACCTTATTATCTTAAATCATGTAATACTAATTCTCAAATACTTAATTTTGTATTGAAATTGGTTAAAGTTTTTCTGTTTTGACTTATGTAAATATTGTTTGCTATTTTTAACAAATTGCTAAGCATTTTTAAAAGCAATTTTTTTTCTTACACTATCCCTTTATTATTGTTGCCTCTTATGTAACGCAACCGATTCTTCTTTCTCCAACCTTTCCTTACCTAGTCATAGCAAAAAATATTGTATCCCTATTGTTTCGAACATTGAGATTTTCTTTTCTCTCAAATTGAAAGTTCATTCACCATCTCCATTATGTCATCAATTTCAAGCCAAAAGATTGCCATCATGTTGTTTTTCCCACTTCTTTTATTTTCAAGAATCATTCACTCCTCGCCATACCAAATTAACAAATCTTCGTTACTGCCCTATATGGTCTTTCGTCTCTAAGTCTCTTTCTCTTTCTCTTTCTCTCCATTGACCATGCAATAAGTCTTTTTTTCTTTCTCTTTACATTCATGTTAAGGTGCTTTACTTTAATCAGTTATTTTGATGCTATTTTTTGGGCTTTTTTTAATGTAATAACTTTAAAATTTACTTAATAATTTAAAATATTATTTTACAAGAAAATTAAAAAATTAAAAAAAATTAAATACATGTAATTTCATATCATAAATGCAGGGAACAAAAAAATTGTCTAATACCGTTAGCACTTGGCAGTTACCCCTAGATAGTTATCTGTTTCAGTCTCTGGAAATTCCGGAAAAGGAAAAAAATTCAAAAATTCCCGACCATACACTAGGCCTCTCTCTCTCTCTCTCTCTCTCTCTCTCTCTCTCTCTCACTCTATATCAACCTTTCCGATATTAGTGTAGCCAAAAACTTTCGATTAGCGAATATGATATATTATATGATACACACA